ATCAGATAACAACAGTCACTAGGAGCAGTAAATAATATAATGACATGCACCCATGTATGTTTACCTTCCTGAATCATTTTAAGCCAACATTTTGATTAAGTTACAGACCATCAATCAACGGGTATCAAGGCGTGTCTCGGTTGATTCATGCACTGATGGCACACTGGAATTCACATATGGGCTGTGGCTCCATCTGGCTTGCAAGTCACACGGTAAAATGAAAACAAACCGACTTTTAATTGTTGTGAGCTAACACAGAACAATGAGAAGGTGTTTTGGTAAGATGCTGGTGGAGTTTGGCACATTCTGGCAGACCAGTTTAACAAGGATGAAGGCCTGTTTAGGCAAAGTGTTCGTGACACGGAGAAGGATACCAAACTGCCACACCTGTATCTTTGATCTTACCACAGGATCCCAAAGAACAAAATCTGTCAAATCTGGAATGAATAGATCAAATTTATAACCCAATTACTAGCAGACTTTGTGTGAGTCTACAAACATTTCTTTTTCTTTTCCCTGTCTTGATGGGAATAGAAGAAATGTGAGCTCCCTTCGTTTTAATGTATGTAGTTAAGTATTTTACAGGGTGTGTGAAAGGCACACAGGTTTGTGAGCTGTATACATGTGGATATGCACGTGCAAATAGGTATGTATGTGTATAGATGTGTTAAACCTGTACAAGAGGAAGAGCATGCATGGCTGTATACTCCTGGAAGTGAAAATGTAGGACTGAAATTTTCCTGAGGACTGATTTTCAGCCCGCAGCTACTTCTGTGTGCTTGTACATGTGTATAAAAAATGGAAAAGGGGTTTATGTATTCTATGATATTGCATTTTCCTAATTAAACTAAAATGGAAAGACGGAATTTAATTAAAAAAATCTAACGTGACCAAATACAAAGCCACCCCAGTGAACTAGTGGACTGTACACACAAAAGCTTGTAGTAATTTTAGTACTCGCGAATAAGTATATCTAACAGAGACCAAACCTTTTCTGGAGTGCAACTCTTTAAAGCCTGCAAACTGTTCAGTGTGCAACACCTTGAGGACATTCAAGTATTTAAGTAACAATGACAAGGAATAACTGCAGCAATCCTGAGAAAAGCCCTTTTCCTTGTGCACACATTAACAGATTTCTGCTAGGTGGGTTTGAAACAAAGCAGGCTTAGAAAGGTACATTTTGGACAGAAATAACATTTTAATTGCAACTGCAAATTGAATGAAAACTAATTCCACTCGCCCTAATCCAGTTTGCACGTTGTCAGTTACCATCCAACCAGTAATGAGTTGTCTAGACCGTCTGCAAAATGAATAGCCCATGGGCCATTCACTTAGTGGAATATATTAAAACAGAACAAGATACACAAGGACAAGACCTATGAGTGGACTTGTGCAATAATATTTTAGCTAATACAGAAGCTATAATGATGTATCTCCATGTTGAGGGTAATAAATTGCATTGTCTCTCTTGTAGCGCTAAAAGGTAGCATGCAAACTTCCATCTGAGTAAAACCTTTGTGTGTGTGTGTGTGTGTGTGTGTGTGTGTGTAGATAGATTTGGCCAAAGCAGCCAATTTGAACACCAATATTATCATCTACTGTAGCATTACTATGAAATACTACACACTTCTGGACCACTAGAGATCATTTGCGAGTGAAAGAAAATCTAAGGCACACACTGTGTTTGAATAGAGGAGGACAGCATAGAAGCAGAATGAATGAATGAAATTATAAACATAAATAAATAATAAATGTCCATAAAGAGAAATCATATTGCTGCCCTCTGTTGGTTACATTTAAAGCTGAGTGAGACATGACTTGACCTGCCAATGTGAAATTACAGTCTGTTCCTGTTTTACCACAGAGAACATTTTAGCTGTGGCAGGAATTCAGTTTTCATGTTAAATATTAATCACACACACACACACACACACACACACACACACACACACACGAATGTTTAAGAGTCTCTTTTATGAAGTGTAATCTTGCAGGCTACGAAAGGTAATGTCAAGGTTTTTAATCAAATCAGAATTAAATCAAAAATTGTGTCTGTTTTTGTCTCCAGACTATGCAGCTTTTTGTTGTATGAATTTTTACTTTTGTATCTATCAGTGGGGAAATTAATGAGTAATTCATCAGCACTGAATGAAGACCAGTGGGAGCTCTACACATGTATTTACCTCGCAGTCTGTGTCTGTTGTAGCAGTGGTCAGACTTGACGATCAACATGAATGCTTTGTAAATTCAAGAAGCATTTTGGAATTTTGTCCAGACCAAAAGACACAAAGTAAAAGCTGCCTTCGGATTTCTAAAAAGAATTATTTTACAGATATTTATAGACATTTTAAGTATCATATAATTTAGTTTTCTTTCCTGAACTGAAAACATTTGTGGATTACAAATTAAAAAAACTGTTGTGTTAAAGGAAGATCGCCGCCTAGGTTTACAGGTGAGAACGTGATTATCTCTTGGTCCTGGCTGTTTCAAACCTGTTTTCAGGTCTGATTCATACTTTAGTAACTCCTTAACTGTTGCGCTGCTAAGATCTTTTTGTCTTTAATTTAAAAGACAAAAAACATACAGTTTTGCAGCCTATTTTGTTAACTAATTTGGAAACACTGCAAATATTATTATCTTAAAAATGAGAAATTGTGTCACACTTCCAGGCTGTTCATAACCCTCAGGGAAGGACTCACCAACTAAAGGTGACTTTTCCCTCCCAATAGTTATTATTATTTTTATTTCCTCCTTTTTTTAAAAACTTGTCATAGATGCTCTACAATGTGGAAGCAACCTGAGAAGCTTAACAAATTAATATAAAAAATAAGAAGTATATTTTATTTTCGTAACATATTTTTTGTGTTGCTATTCCATATTTTTATTTTATTTATTATTACTACTAATAAAGTACAAAAAAGGGGTGTATAACTGTAATTAAATTTGTATTTTATGTTTATTTTATTGCAGTATTTTTTTTTAGTAAAGCACATGTAGTGACAAGATCTGCAAAATGACTGTCAGTCCTCCATTCAGTGAATATCCTGTTTTTGTATTTGTGCCAAAATAAATAAATAAATAATTATAATTAATCTAAGCATATTTTAGATTAGGCCTACATTTTTTTTTACTCATGGTGGCAACAATACTGTGCCATAAAGGCCATGTCCAGTCACACATGCACAGCACTTAGTGCCTCCTCTAAAACAAAATGTACTCTGCGTTGAATCCTCCCTGCACGTGCTGCCGGTTGAGCCATGTTAATCAAGCGGAATATCTAAAACACTGTTCCGGGAAGGCGTGCACCACACTGATCTGCCGTTTCGGGACGCTCAGTTTATGATCCCAAAAAAGACACAATTGTGATTTTTAATGAATATTAAAACCATTTTTTGCAACGCGCCTCGTTGTCGGATTGCAAAGCAGCGCATTAAGGCCGGTGCTGGTGTTCCTACGGTGTTCCTGGTTAATGTAGGTCAAAGCAGTGACGGAAGGGTGTCCTCCGTTGAACCCGCGGTATTAATCCACATCACAGTCCTGCAGATGGCGCGCACAGTCAACTGAGTGCCCTGGGTGCTCACCACGGTGCTCACACAACAATATCCGTATGGAGCCTACCCAGCTTGAGAGATGGCGATTGTCTGAAGCGACACCTCTGTCTCCCCTGTACAGCTGGAGGGGCTTTGAAAGCAAAGTTCAAGAGTGCAGTTTTTTTCTCCTCCATAAGAGTTTCTCCACGGGCTTTACGCGCTGCAGCTCAGGAGGCAGGACGCTTTATCAGGCTTGCTGGTCGAGCGTAACCTTAGTTGACCTCTTTGTCAGTAAAAGCCTGTCTTTCAAGATGCAGAGCAGCTTACACTGAACATCCTCCACCCTGTATACCAGAAACACACACATGAATAATATATTGAAAGTATCTATTAGACATTAGGCCCTCAGCGTGGTTCATTATTCTGATCTGAACTACAGACACGCGTGTGCGCACACACGCACACCTGTCACTGTCTAGACAGGGAGGGGGCAGTAAGGCGGTGGGTGCGGGGGGGATCCCACATGACCCATTAGGCTACTGCTTTATTCTGTGCCAACCAGAATATATCTCAAGGCGTTGGATAATGACAAAAAAAAATCAACAACAACAAGGGAGAAAAGCAATCGCTCTACTAAATCTGATTGGCCGGCTGAACCGACGCGAATTTTTTTTCCTGCTCGCAAACTCGAGGTCAGCTCGGGACGTTAAAAAATAAATAAATGAGAAAATAGAAATGCGTAGAAAGTAGAAGACACGGCAGACAATCTAGCTTGTTGGTGGCGGCGGTGATTGACGGCGCCGCCGGCCAATGAGAGGCCGCGGCGCAGCTGGCTCGCTGTACTGGCAGAGGCGGCGTCCAATGCAAAGTTCAGACGCATGATGGACACATAACTGACAATTCCCCCGTTCTTTTGATCCAGACTGGGGATAGATTTGAGTTCATTCACAATTGTGATCGCTGATATTTTGAACAGCAAGCGTAGGAGCCCGCACAGTATAAAAGGGGGCATATATATGAGCTAAAAGCGGTGGGGTTTATGGGCACAGTGGAGACTCTCTCTGGGGTGCAACTTCGCTGCGAACCTGTTTAAACCTCATCCTTCACAGGTTTCATTACGCACCATGAGCTCCATTTATAAAAAAAAAAACTGCTGTGTTGCTTCTCAGGCAGGAGCAAACTTACAAAACACCTCGAGTAGGAGGAACACTACTACTACAACTACTATTACTATAACTCCCACCACTTCCAGAGAGCCATAATGGAGCCGGTTTCACCGTCCCACTGTGCTTCCAGCGATTGGGGCGCAATAATGTTGACGGATTTGCGATCCAACCCAAGACAGTGCACTGTTCTTCCAATAGCAGCTTTAAGTGAAAAGGCGTGCCTGCCTGGTTGCCCCCCCTCCACCCCTCCCTCCTCCTCCTCCTCCTCCTCCTCCTCCTCCACCACCACCCTCAAAGTACTCGATGTATAGTTAAAAAATGGGAGGGCACACTTGAACCGAGCTGCTCTATGAAGGTAGGCTGCAGCGTGTGTTTATTGATGAGATGAAAAGAAGATGGAAGTGAGAAATGAAACAAAGTAAAGGAACATATTAAAAAAAAACTATACGCGCTTCGTCGGGGGAAAACAGGGGGAGCCGTGGAAACGCTGTCGCCACTTTTTGAACGAGCTTCGAAGTGCAGGTAAGAAATTGAGAAAAGTAGGAAAAGGGATGGGTCTTTACAATATCTATAACGCTATTATTACAGAGGGGGGAAATTAGAGGGATTTCCCGTAGAAGAGATTAAAACATGCTCGTTGACTTTCGGGTGATGTGCATGAAAAACCACTGACTTCCATGTAGTTGTGGCTGGCTTTACCAAGCAAATATTAAGCTCTACATAATCGGAAACTTCATTCTTTGCAGGATCTCAGACATCCAATAAATGTGACGCCAGCGTACGAAATGAAATGAAACGAGTCCCGCATGTTAGGGGACTCAGTTTTTGGCTGCCAGGGGTTTTGTTGTCCATTTATATTCGACTACAAAAATGCGCTGCCCTGGCATGACGCAAGTTTCCCCATCTGTCATTATTCTCACCATGCCCCTTTACCTTTAGCCCTTTACTTTCGTATTTGCCCGTGAGCCAGGCAGGGGACACTTGAGAACAATACTCCGGGCAAACTGTGCTCACAGGTCTGTTTCTCTCAATCAGCGAAAGCCTCAGCGATGCTCGCAGGCTGCTTGTTCACATTTTACACACTGTGAGCCCGGAACAACTGTGGCAGCCGACGTGCGCATTTGGCTTTTAGGTCAGTTATTTGAATCCGAGGAAACGCGCTTCCTTTATTGCAATTAAACACTATCGCGCACTCTCGTTGTGAATCTATTTCTAAAATACATTTCAGTTTGCAGAAGTTGCCGAAAAGATGCTCTCGATATCCGAAATGCATAATATTAGCAGCGGCTCGTACAGCGCGTACACTCAGACAGATGTCTAGCCTACATTTTTTATGAATTAATATCAATACGGCGTGGCATTTATGAGATGGGGTTACATTAAGATATGCTCAGCAGGCGGAGGGAATGCTGGCTAATATTGTGTCTGAAGGTAAAACAATACTGCAGGTTCAGTTTCTGAGATAAATCACAACTAGATCCAGTGGGACTCTGGTCTGGATTTTTGGTGCCATGTTTCTCAAAAAAAAAAAAAAAAAAAAAAAAGAGAGAGAGAGAATGATCTTTTTAATTGTCGCAATCCGCGTTTGTTCACATGCACAGTTTGTGGGGAAGGGGTTTGCGATGTGAGGATGTTTTGGCAAAAGGGTGGCCTAGATATGGGGCCATGCTCTGGTGTAATTAAAGTTGCAAGAGACGCTTCCTGCGTGCCTTTTGAGACATTTTGTTGCAAAATATTCATGGGCAACTCGTGATCCCTTTGCTCCTGCTTATCAGATGGCTTTATGGAGGCACTTCACCTCTTGGATAAAGTTAAATATGTATATATGTTCAGCGTTGGCGCAATAAAAAATAAATGGAGCAACGACTGTCCGAAATTCACAGAAAGGGCCATGGGGAGTTGGGCCGGAGCAACATGTCAGTCTTGTTCTTTAGGGCTCCATCTATCCGTGCGCGCCTCTGTGTATCTGTGTGTGTGTGTGTGTGTGTGTGTGACTGCAAAAGGGACAGAGAGCGTGCGTGTGTGTGGCAAACAGATGTTGTCCCAAAGCGCTTGGCTTTGTCAGATAAAGAGAGTAATACAGCGTGTTCTTGTGTCTATTATAAGCGCCACTGATGCTTTCTACAATACAACACGGTCTGGGTCTGATTAATAGGCACAGGCTCGCCTATAGCCCAGAAGTTGTGCGCAGGTATAGAGCTTTGCGTCAACACATTAGTCAATGTCAGAGGTTGGTTCCGGTGTGGTCATTGAGGCTGTGTACGCGAGAGGACGCAACACAAGAAGGCCGGTCCCGGGTTTGACACAGGGGGAGGCTGCAGGAGAGCGCATGCAGCGCTGCGTCCAGCTCCGGTCTGTGGATGTGCACCTGTGTGTGTGTGTGTGTGTGTGTGTGTGTGTGTGTGTGCGCGCAGTTTTTTTCCTCCTCATTTTTTTTTACTACATATTATCCCTTCTCACTTTTGTTGTGATCACTTCCTCTCCCCGCCTTCATTCAGAATATGTCTCCACAACGTAAATGGGCTGCAGTCCTATAGGCTTGGTTATGTAATTGATGGCTACACTGGATCGTTTGTTTTCTGAATGGACACATTTGGAAGAACACAGAGCTGAGCACAGCCCGGTGTAGCAGAAATGCAGCATTTCACTTTGATGTAAGATTACAGCTGGGCATGATTATAAATCTGTCCCATGAATTGGAGCATATTGATTGACAGGCCGCATGTGGGTGAGTAAAGTAGGAATTATATTGTCACAAAGAGTACACTGGATGGAATACCCTTCATCTGAAAAGAAACTCCACATAAAACTTAATACCTGTATTTTTGGACATTTTATTGTTTGATGAATTGGAGGGTGCTTGTCTTGTGTGTAAGTGAGCTCTCAGCACAGCTTGATGTCAAAAACTCTCGTTTTATCAGCACAGAGGTGTACAGGAGCTGCTGGGAGAGAGACAGCCATTATGTGCCTTGGGAGTGTGTATCAGGTGCTCAGTTTCATCTCAGTTAAGTCACTAATGAGTATTTATATGTATATATTCCACATTTACATTAATATTCACAGTGTTTGAGCCATCGCCATTTGCCAGCTTTCTGTGTCACGGCTAAAACCCACCCATGACTAATGAATATTTAAGAGCATGTCTGCAGACCAAGGAAACTCATTATTATATGAAGGAGACCCAGCAGATAAACTGTAGACCTCCTCAGATGAAGGCAAGGGGGGGAGAGAGGTGTTCAGTTAATCCACACTCAGCAATCAATCCCAATTTTCTTCTGGCTTCACCATCCTTCACTCGTCCTCTGTAGCTTGTCACCCTCTCTTCACATTCAGCCATTTATTATTGACCAGCAAACTCACACAGTGTGTGTCCGTAGCATTCAATTTTGAAATGTTTCGTGCTGATTTAGTCACTCTTTCGCACATTTCTCCCACCTGATTATTTGGGTTTACTCAAATGAAAACGTGCAAGGAAGCCATGCTGTACTAATGTAATGAGGGCTTCTTTTGGAGAGACATATAACAAAAAAACAATCATTTTGTACTGTACATGCACACAGATGGCAGGTCAGTATTCCAAAATATTTTTTAAGAGCTGCAAAGGCACTGTTGCCCAAATAGGCAAGATAGAGACGTCTCTCTGAAGCCTCCGCAGTGCCACATTTCTGGTTATTCCCACACCATGCAGTCATCTCCACCAGGCTTTTACCAGGTAATTCTAGTGGCCCATTGCCGACATAATTAAATCAATAAATATATGTTCATTATGTTGTTTCAATGCAGCGCTCTTGAAAAGAATTTTAGGCGTTGGTGGTTTATTGGGCAGTGGTGAAAAGGACGGGAGAGGTGGGAGAGAGCATGTAATATTGGTCATGAGTGGATTTTACCTGAATCCACTGAATCATGCAGTGCTTTTTATTTTGCCCTGAACATTGTTAAGTACATTTTTTTTTATTTTAATATATAATTCAAATCCAGAAAGTGTGCATTTGGTTGCAAATGTAAGCACACACTGGCAACACACTAACAAAAAAATATAAATTCTTGCATGCAGCACCAGTGTAAAATTAATATTGTAATTCATGACTCTAAGTAGGGCATTTTAACTAGTATAACAAAAGACGTAAAAAAGAAATATGCACTTGAGTCCATCCTGGCACTTTGTCTACCCCAGTTGAACATATTTGGCAGCCATTTTGGGAATGCAGTAGAGATCCATCGATATAACGAGCCACTTTGTGGATTATATCCAGAATGTCACAGTGCTTGTTAACTGCTTGGCCTTTTTGTCTCAGACAGTGTTTATCCTTTTTCCCTCCTTTTTTTTTTTGTTCCTGTATAATTCTCGTTATAAGAATATTCCCCCATGGAGCGAAACTAATCTTTGATGTGATTGCCAGACTGAGACTGTTTTCAGGTGCACATCTTAAAGTTAATGACAAGTCTGATAATTAACTACAGAATAGCCTTCCAGACTTTAATAGATTTTAAGCTTAAAGATTTGGTTTTTGTTTAGGAAGTGTGCTTAAAGTTCCCTGCCTGATGTTTTACAGCAGCTGCAGCTTTAATACTGCATTTGAGTCCCCAGTTACCATGGCAACCCCCCAAAAAAATCAGGCACCTCTAAAGCTTAAGAGAAGTCTTGAATTATTTTATATTAAACATGTTGTACATATTAATTTTATTCATATCTCTTGGTCTTAGTAAAAGATCTAATTAGTGACTAACAGCTAACTCTACCTCAGTGGATTGTTAGCATGCATGGATTTTTGCAAACTACAAATTATTGGCAGGCTAGCTGCCTCCTGGCTAACTGGCTTGGATCCTTCTACCCACAAAGCACCTTTTTCACACATAACATGCTTCTCTTCACATGATATTATTTTTTTTTATTCTTGAAAAACACTAATAACACAATTGCAAAACCTATTGAGAATCCGCACAAGTTGCCTTTGTAATTAAGGAGAGAATTTCCCCTTCAGCTGCATTATGCAACACAGAGAAGCTGTTACGATGAGTTATGGTGATTTCCTCCCAGCTATAAGGCAAGGCTGGAAAATAATATGCCTTGTTTAAGGGGAGGGAAATTTTGTCTTGTTTATTGATGATCATTTTGCCAGGATAAAAACATTTTGGAATAAATCAGTTATACATTATGCATTCGTAATGCTTAAGGAAGACTTTTATGACAGCTATAGTATGTCACATTTGTGCAGACTGGCTCAATTTGTCATTTCATTGAGCAGGAATTTTCCAAAATACTCCCCCCTTTTAGTACCTTGGCAGCAGGAATCGAAAAGACTAGTCATGAAAATGACTTTTGTGAAACTTAATGTCACTCAAAACCCAGTGACTTTCAGAGCATGCAGCATACTGACAAACCAAAAACTTTAAGGCATGTTTTTCAGTTTTCAAAGGACTTTTGTTTTGGAATCTCCCCTCCCTGCGAGTATCACAGGAATGCGTAATGAAAGCACACATTGAGACTGAATAAGTATTTGCGAATGTGCCTTGCTGTTGTC